CAGGAATGCGACTGTGCATTCCCAAATGATGGCATAACGAGGGAATTTATGCAGTATTTCTGTTAGGGGTAGTTTTAAATGCCTCCACCATTTTTACTTGGCTCACCACAAACAGTTACAGTTTTTGACCACCAGACACATTGTACTGAAGGATATCAAGCTTTCCAGAGGGATTTGAATGTATTTGCTAACAAGAAACATGCAAACCTCGCTATTTTTTTCCTCTGTAACTGCATTCCTGGTCCTACGTCAAGGAACAGATGACACATATTTTTCATAAAATATTAAGCAAAGGCAAACCATCTGATGACAGCACAGAAAGAGGAGGCTTTGCTTCTGGTGAGAGCTGTCTACTGGCAACTGGCTTGATGGAGTTTTAACCATACCCAGTATTTGACCTTGAATTTATTGCTTGCTATAGCAGTGAGAGAGAATGAGGATACACAAACAGCATAATACTGCTAGGAAGGAAACAAATTATTAAATTAACTTTGCTTAGAACATCTTTGAGATTTCAAAAACAAAAATTTTAAGTGCTGAGAAATTCTGGCCATGAAGAAAAGGGGGAGACCTACAGACAGCCCTTTCTTCATGTTTCCTTGCTGTCAATTCAGTACCTTCCCTCTCCTGGCTTTGAATGTGTGGTATCCCTCACTTGGAACCTGCTACTGTTCTCCACCAGCCAGCTCTGCCCTCATCACTGTGATGGATTTGTTCAGTGCCAGCGAAATGATGCAATTTTACCTATTTATTTTTCTTTCTGGCATGCTGAGACCCAGTGTTTCTGGGGTACGTAATGGCTGCACCACAGTATCTCAGCAGTGTCATCTCTGCCAATTGCTGCTGCAGTATTTGTCTGTGTGTATAAACCAAAGCTTCTCATGGGCTTTTCTGATTTGTGTGGAGCATCTGTACGTGTTCAAATTCTGGAATATGACATCCAGTTCATATGCTACCCACGTTTCAATATCTCTTAACTGCTTCACAAAAAGGAAGCAAAATTGGCTTTGTTTCCACATTCCCTTCACAGCTAAATTCAGCAGAAATGCGCTGGGGCAGGAGGAGGAAAGACACAGCACCAGCCACCTCAATTTAGAGATACTGGCAAAAAAAGCCCTGAATTTTATTAGGAAGTAACATATGCTCCAACTTACTTTCCGTTGCACCTCCTTCTCGTAACCATCTCTTCCTTCTCTTCCCAGAGAGAGCACCAGTGCTTTATCACCTCATGTTTTTCTCTGACTTGTGTCCATATGTGGAGAGTGCACCTTGCACAGAAACCAGCATTAAGAAATGTCTTTATGCTGCCATCTGGGAAGCTTAGCACTTGGAAATAAAGGCAGTGGCATCAAGCAGCAGTCATCTTTGGCACTTGTGCAGCACTGGTTCAAATTGTTTAATTGTTTATATAGAGGTAGGGAAGCACAATGTCTGGTTTCCAGACCTGGAAGAGGGGAGGCACAGGAAATTAAGGCACACAAGGAGCTGTGACGGGGGCAGGATCCAAGTCCTCTGGCTTCTGTTTCCGTGCCATAATTACAGTGTCCTTTCCCAAGTTGGGGGCAATGTGGTGAGTTTTCAGAATATTTTACTTACAGCATGACAAAGCTCCAGTATGCCATGGCCACCAAAATTTAGCTGAAGGGAAGGTAAGTATCCCTGAGACTACATGCAGAAATAGGCATATAAAAGTAATTTGAGAGTGGTGTGAAATGATACTTTGATAGAGTGCCAGGCTATGGGAGGAGAAGTCACATAGCCAAGACTGACAAATGTAATCAGGATTCAGTGGCTCAGCTGTTATGAGACCAGATTTGGAGGACTTCTGCAGGTTGGTGAGCTCTAGAGAATTGAGCCTTTTATAATGAACTGGAGGAGCACAAAGCAGGCAAGCCATGGCTGAGGCTCCCTGGCATGGAATGAAATATTTATTTTTTCATAATGGAAGAGTTCATTTGAAAGCTTTCTGCAGGAAATTCTGCTTTTTAAAGTTCAGCAAGAGCTGCTTTGTCACAGCTGAAAAGCAGAATTTCATCCTAAAATTTTTTGAGCGGCAGCTCAGCCATTTGGTGGGAGAAGTTTGGCTCTGATGGCAGTGTTTGGCCCTTGCCAGCGATGAACCCAAAGCCAGCCACCACAGCAAATGATAAGAAGGTAATGAAGGAGAATTTTTCTCTTTCCATTATGCTAGTAAAATCTTTCTGACAACTCCACAAATATGTCAAGGGAGACCACTTTAGATTCACATCTGACTTCTGGAGAAATCTTTAGGAATTATACCATTTAAAGGACCAAGCAAGACAAATACTTAAAGAAGTACAGTACGATCAAAGGGAGTCAAGGTGGTTTCAAGAAGTAAACGTCACACTTTAGTGGCTTGAAGTCGTTCAGGGCGATGTCTACCAGAGAATTAAAAAAAAAAAAAATTATAAATGTAGTAGATGGTCTTGCATGAGCACTTTGATTTCTCAGAAAATGTTTGAGAAACTGTTCTGCATCACAGGTTATTAATATAAAAGATACGAAGCTACAGACTAAGTGGAAAGTTGGCACAGTCTACTGGAAATTGGCTAAAGGGCAGGAAACAAAGGGTGGCAGTAAAAAGCTAAAAGGAGATTAATTGGTGAGTGCTGCAGGGAGCGATGTTGGGACCCGCTTTTTATTATTTACATATAAATTACTTGGAGGGTGGTATTGAAAGATTTGCCAGCGAAGCTGTGCTGGATAACACTGCACATAAAAAGGGACGATACAATTAAGAAAGGGCTTAATTTATTGAAGTAGCCGAGTTGATCAATAGTGCAGGCGAGTGAATGCGGGCTGTTGTTTGGCTCAAATTCCCCTGGGGCTGGCTGCTGAGGAGCACCTCAGGTGGCTGCAGGCTTGCATGTCACTCTGTTGTGAACGGTTTTCCAGCCTCAGGGGCTCGCGTTGGCTGCCTCTTAAAAACAAACCTGGCAAACAAGCTACAGAGCCTTCGCAGAGCTGCTGTGGCCCTTTTCAGCAGCCAAATGCAGGTTTTGTCCAGTGGGTAGATCTGTTTGAAATGTAAATATAAAACCCACCCACCCGTTTGTTCGTTACTTGCCCAGAGCATTTTTCTCTGTGCTCTTGACTAGATGTAGGTGAGCAATATGAGAAACAAATATCTGGATTGAAGAAAGGCGTTATGTGACAAACTACGTAACACCCGTTCAGAAAGATGTCGTGTGTGACTGTGCTCTAGCAGTGTGTATCTGCTGTTAGCTATCAGCAGAGATCTGCAAGTACCGGTCAGGATAAAATATAGTGTAACCCAATGCTTATTGTCATGGATGTCTGTGCTACTGAGGTTCTGGTGCTCCTTCCTTGTAGTTGGCTTTTTACATTTTCTGGTTACTAAAGTCAGGGGTAGCTAGTTAACAGGGTAGCTGCTCTACATGAAGTAAGACGACATCAGTGTATGGTACAAGGATGGTGACCAAACTGGGCTCCTTTGAAGGCTGCCCTGATGCTCCAGAAATATGTTAAAGACTGAGAAAGTTTGCCAAGGCAGCACAGAAGGGGCTGGTAAGCTGGGGGGAGTTGGTGGCAAGGCTCTGAGGACAGCCCAGAAGGCAGAGAACAGAGCACAGGTAGCCTGAGGTGTTTGGGTCAGAGAACGTGAGTTCTGTGGGGCACTATCAGGATTGACATCTGGCTGCAGAAGCATCGAGTCGTGAGGGAAAGGTTGAAAATTTGGGGTGGAATTGCTAGGAAATTTGTCAAGGGTGCAGCACCAGTTAAGGAGACCTCTGCACTGACAGCCAGTTTCTGGCAATCTGCAGTAGCAGGGCTATGCAGTACTGTTTAGCAGTGTGTGCAGCTTTGCACAAACATGTCACAGACAGAACATCGCTTAAACCTCACTGTTGCTCAGTTTCTTGAAATACAGCTGCAGGAAGGAAGCAGTCATTGGGAAGGCTGGCTCTGGAACCAAAAAAAAAAAAAAAAAAAAAGTAGTAATTTCTATGGGAGGCAATGAGCTGCTTTTGATCACATAAGATTTACAGTGCTGTGGGGTTGCTGGCTGTTGCAGGCACTTGGGTAACTCCCTGGATCTCTCCTCATCTTTCCGAACCTCTGGCATATCACACTCCCTCACCTTTCCTGTACAGTGTGTGTAGAGTATGTTATGGGGTGCTGCACAATGTGGGGGTGTGTGGAGTGGGTGTTCAGTGAGACCTGCTGGTCTGAGCATCTGTTACACGTGCCCCGGTGGTGCTGCCCAACCTCTATGCCCCCGGGAGCTCTGCTGTCACCCTGCTCTGTGCCCAGCTGAAGGTATGTGTCTCTACTACAAGAGACCCTCATTGACCCAGGTAGGAACTAGAACAAAGCTGCTAGCAGAAAAGTGAAGGGTTAGAAGCTGGCTTTTTTCTGCGCCTGGGCACAGTGGTCTGTGAGCATAACCTGAACCTATGATAGATTGGACAGCTCTAAATTAACTCCTTTTTTGTGAGCAATGTGCTGGGGGCACCTACAGCTATATTTTAGAAATCCGAGTAAAGACAGAAAGAAAGAGCTTAAGAAAAAAATTAAGTATTATGTGGACATGGCTGCCCTAGTGAGTTGCTGCTGTGGTAACTGGAAGGCAGACAAAGCTGCATTTCAGTGAACATTTTGTTGCATGTCTAACTGGTCCTTGTATAGAAGAATCTTGCCTGAACTTGCCCCAAGCTTGCCTCACTGTAACCTTGGCACTCTGTTTTCCTTAGCCTGGGTACCAGCCTAGCATCCCTTATTGCTCACCCCTCAGCCCTCTCTGCACCTCTTCTGACATCTAGTTCCTTCTCAATGGTACCCCTTTCTGGAGGTGCTCAGTTCAAAAAGATTTTGCTTTTAGGAAGTAACCACCTTGTTCACAGATTACCCATAAAATCAGTGATTGCATGTTTTTTCTTTTCCCCAAAAACTAAACATGTTCTTTGTAAAATTATCTATTCTTGATGTTTTTCTAGCATTGTGCTACACCAAGGATTTGGACCTTTTGACCTGCAGATTGGCTGCAGGTAGCTTTGACAAGTTTATCTGCCCCAGTGCCACTCCCCAGTCAGACAAGATTGTTCATTGCAGGAGGATTCAAATCAGTGATGCATGGTCTTGGTTTCCTGCCTTCTTCTCCACCAATGCTGCAAAAAAAGGCTCCTGTGGTATAATGTGTACTTTGCCTGGGTGGGCAAGCCATGGTAGATATGTTTTCCCTAGCGCTGATGTTAGAAGCTTGGTTATTCCTACGAGAGGCAGCAAATGCTCAGTGCATCCCTGAGCATTAACCCCGATGCTTTCAAATACTTGCCTGTACTCAAGAGATATGACAAGAACACGTGCTGCTTATTGATGGCTGTGTTGGCCAACTTACCTCCAACGGCCCAGTGATTTCCCAGTTGAAACCCTGGGCTGTTAGAGGCTGAACTAAATTCTGGGAGATGGGGACTATAACAGCTCCTGGTTTCTGTGCAGTGGGTTTGGGAGGAGATCTGTGCTGCATATAGTGATCTTTTCTATAACAGGATTCCCACTCAGGCTGAATAAGGAGATACGCTCTAATGAAGAGAGTTTCTTGCCTTGACTTTAATCCTCTCCAAAGTCCTTATTCAGCTGCTACCTTAGATAATGAAGTGAAGGTTACATTTTACAAATTACCTTCTTGTGCTTTTCAGTGAAAGGTGAACAAGTAAGGATTAGCAGTCAGGTCTAGGTGACTTTTTTTTTCCTCTGGTACTGGTTGCAGTCCCATAAAATCATAATTACATTAAAAGGTCCAGGCATTTTATGTGCATTGCCTGCTCCGTGGCTCCTAAGGGGAGAATGCACCAGGAGGGAGAATAAAACAGCTCATATTTTCTAGTTATGCCAAACGCTTGTTCTGACAAATTTCCTGACTGCCGCTGCTGCTAGTGGAGCCTGAGGCTGGAGCAGGGTGTGTGGCTAGGTGCACCCTGTCTGCTTTGCCAAGGTTGTCACACTTCTTTCAAACTGTAGTTCTTGCTGTGGTAATTAAAGTGCTCTGTGAGTGCCTCATAACGGCTCCCCATCGCAACCTGGAAATTGCAGGCAGTTCATCAGCTGGAATACAGTGTGTGCTGGAAGGAGAGTTACTCCCAACAAAAGGCTCGATTGAAAACACTTGCCATGACCCTTCCCTGTATTCTGGCTCAGCTGGTGGCCTCCTGTCTGCCTCCTCTGCTCCCGACTTTCTTCAGCCTCACTGGGAAGAGGATGGTGGAAGTTGTTTTAAGGGCAGGGTGTTACGGAAGTGCCAGCAGCAGCGATCAGCCTGACTGTGGCTGCAGACTGATGCAGTGAAGCCAGTGAGCATTTTAATAGTGTGGATAAGCTTGAGGGTTCACTTTTGTGCAGCTGTTGAATTGATCTCTACCTACTGAAATCCTTACAGGTACACATAACTGAGCAGATAAACAGTGTCTCTCTGTTTTGTTGAACTGCTCACTTGCTCAGGCATAATTCTTGAGTGCAGCAGCTGCCTGGGGTCTAGAAAAGTGAATGTGATGCCTTCTGTGACACAGGCATTTCTGAACATGTGCAATGTATCTGCCAAAGTTAAATGGATCTGGACAAATAGTGAAAACAATTATTTATGAATATTTTATTAGAAAACATCAAAAATTCATCAAATAAATTATTCAGCTTCCATATGAGTAGTCCTGCCAGTGATAGGGAAGAGCCTCACATGCTGAACCAGGCTGCTGGTGGGGGAGGCTTTGAGCGTCGCTGGCAGCAGGTGACACAGTGCTCTGCAGCCTTGCTCGGGAACCTTGTGTCCATCCTGATGGGGGTCAGCAGTTGAGCCGTGCTGAGCTGGGGCAGGAAGGACTGCAGTGTGAGGGCCAAATTGGAGAAAAGCCTCAGCAGTGCTGTAGGAGAGGTATTTCAGTGCCCTGGCCAAGCTGCTAACTCACAGCCAAACAGCAATGTTTCACAAACAGCTCTGACAGTCTTCCCCTTCATGGATGTCTCTTGGGTTTTTGTGTTTTAGGTGAGAGTCTATGACCTCCTGCAGTACGAGCATGGGCCAGATGATGTTCTGATCCTAGCTACTGATGGACTCTGGGATGTGCTGTTAAATGAAGAAGTGGCAGAAGCTGTCACTAACTTTCTACCGAACTGTGACCCCGATGATCCCCACAGGTTCGTGCTCATCCCTGATTTTCTAGCTTCTACAGAAAAGCTCTTTCTTGTGAAATATATTTTTGTAGAAAGTATAATATGAATAACATTCAGTAAATATGCAACACTTGCAAGAGGACATTTTTAGATGTTGGATGAAGTCTCTACTGCAAATATGAGGGTTTGGGGCTGCGGGGGGAGTCTGTTATAACTGATAATTGCCTGCCTTCAAAGGAGTAGTTCTGGGATCATAGGATCTTGGCATGGGATCGATTTTGTTTGCTGTATGAGGTCCTGTGGAAACTGCAGGAGACTGAGCTCTTAGCAACAGGTCTCTGTCTCCAGCAGTCACAGGTTTACACTTAACTCTGCTTTGGATAGTCCCTTAACACTAAAGATTGTTTCTCACTAGGACATCATCAGCACCTCTTTCTCACTCTGTGTGTGTGTATGTATAAATACTGCACAGTGTGCTTCCCACTCCTCCCTGGTCATGCTGTGACCTTTAAACCCACCTTCAGTAGGGGATGCTCAGTGCTACCAGCTGCAGGACAGGTGTGGTGACAAAGTGGAAAGTCTGACTCTATTTCATTTAGTTGGATTCTGTTTCATTTCACAATTTTAACCTACCTCATACTCTTCCTGTCTTTATTACTTCTTAACTTGATGAGTTTCTCTCTTTAAAAAAAGCATCAAGCAAGCAAACAAGTCCCCAAACAACAAACAAGAGCAGTGTCTGCGCTCTCTCTGGGATGAGATCAGGCACGATTAGCAAGGCGCCCTTCCAGGGCATCTGGCACTGTGCTATGCAGCTAGGCCATGCATTTAAGGCAGGAGGAGATGACACACCAATCTACTTTCCATTCAGAGGTGCTAGGAAGCGTTTGCCCTCTATTTCTGCACCCCTGAGTCTCCTCTTGCAAAGGCACCTGGTAAAGTGTAATACATCTGCCCTGCTCTGTCTCCATTCTCATCTAGTAATTGGGAAAAGTTGTCTCTTCCTACCATCCTTGCTGGTCCTGTCTGTTAGTTCTGAATGCAGCCTAGGTACACTGTGTCTGTTTTGTTCCCTTCGGTCTTCCCAAAGCTGGTGATGCCACCGTGTCTGCTGCAGTAGGAATGGCAATTCTTTGTTTGATCTTTTTGACTTGTTCAGTGAGTAATTTTTCATCCGTTATAAAATACTCATAGAAATCAGAGACGCCAAAGGAAAAAGAGATTTTCTTTGTTTCATTTAGATTTGTTTGTGCTGGTTTTAGCCCCAGTAGTTGTGGGGGGATTAGTCCCTGTTTGTGCCAGCATGAGTACAACACACTCCACAATGGGGCCTGCTGTATTATAAGTTAGAACAAACACATTTATTAGTGTTTGACCTACTGGTCTGTGAATGGACATCTGAATTGAAAATTAATTTGTTCCTTTAAGTAACTTTGTGCCAGGTCGTTTAGAACCTTACAAATAGTGGTGGCAAGACATTTCTCATGCCAGCTTGCAAAAGGTAATTAGAGCAGTCTCTCATATAGTTTACAATGATATTTATGAAAATTACCTTCGTGGAATTGCTCTTGCTGCTTGGTTGTAAGGAATGTTTAAAGGGTTTAAAGTACTGTGTGAGAGGTTTTATGTAATTACTTCACAGTGGTCCAAATGAGGTATAACTAATGAATTTACAATAGCATAGCAGCTCAGACTGTGGAGCTGTTCATTCCTCTCACTAGTCAGTGACAGGAAAATCTTATTTGCCGTATTATCAGTGTTAACGTTTAAAGGAAATGTTAACCCACAAAATGTCAGGTTCTGTGATGGGTGTAGTGACATAGTCTGTGGTGAGGTAATCAGCTGGAATCTCTAGGGAGGTAGAAAACTTGTCAGAACGTAAGAGACTTGCCCCTGGGTTTGGTAATGGTGTGGACTTTTGGAGCATCTACCTGTGGAGCAGACTCTGGATCTGCCTGACCCAGTAGCCTACTTGTTCCCTGACAGCAGCATATTAAAAAAAACAAACAAACAAACAAACAAAAAAAAAAAACTAGGGAGGAGGATTTTAGAGCTGCAGAGTACTTATCTGTTATGTAATTATCTCTTTGAGGGAACAATATCACTCGCATTTGAATTAGAAGTAATTTTATAGCCTGATGGGTAAGAGCTTACAGCCCTCAGCAATGCTCTTGGGACTCTCTCCTGCTGATACTTACTGTCAGAACTGTGAATGTTTGTTATCCACAGAAAAACATCTTTGAATCCTGTCAAACGTAGCATGTGCCTGGGCATCTCCAAGTGCAGGGAGAGCAAAGTCCTCGGTTCTCTCTTCACCTAGACATGCAGATGTAGCCTCAGGGGATTTGGGCAGCCGGTGATGGGCACAGTCTTGATCAGAGAACAGTTCCTATGTGATGGCTGTGATGGTGCGAAGAAGCTGGGGTGGAGATGGATTTCTTAGCTAGCTCATTTCTTACGGTTGTTGAGGCAGACAAGAGCATGAAGGGGACCCTGACTGAAGAAGAACAGGTGGTAGCGACACACTGCTGCTTTCCATACATCATGTCTCTGAAAAGGTATGAAGATAGAGAAGTATAATTCTTGTACATTTGCTTCAGCTGCACTTACACAGGTTTACCCACTGACCTTGGGGATCTTTTCTTTTTCATCTTCCCTCCTGTCCTTTCTCATTCCCTCTCTCTCTCTAGAGATTTATGAGGATGCTGGGGAGTTGCTCCACCTCTGCTGGGTGTGAGAAGATAAGAAGCTGCTCAGAGAGCACCACATTTCCCCCAGTGTCACCATTTCTCCCGCAGTACTTTCACTGATCAATGCTGAAAGCTTCAGCAGAAGAAAAAAAAACATATATATTTATTCTTAAAATACAAAAGTTGAATTCCAGTGAGGCTGTTCATTAGGAGGAAGTGGATACTTTAAAACTACTTCAGCAGTTCTCTAATGCTGTCTCGACAGCCGAATCCCAGGTTCACAGTGCTGGAGAATAAAGCATTTGGTAATGGACTGCTGCTGCTATTCATCTCCAGGTACAAGATACTCAGCCTGTCTCCTCTAGTGCCAAGTTGAACAGCATCGCTCCAATTCAACTCTACACAAGGAGAGGAATATGTTCCCTTGCTGCTGCCTTCACCTGTTCCTTTTGCTTTGCTTCAAGGTGCTGTTTTTCTTGTGTATTTTAGGCTGTCTACAAGAGAATTTCTGGTTTATTAAAATTCTTTTTTTATCTTGCCCTCTCCAAACATTAAGCAGCAAAAGCTTTACACAATCAAGAACAATACTTATTCCTTTGTACTCTTCAGATGTGGGGAGCCCTTGTTAATTAGAAAAAGGAGGAAGGCAAAATTTTCTTCCAGAATGATGGGTGTTTTCTTCTTCTAAATTCTGACAATAGCTGAGAAGTCCTTGGAAAAGATGTCCTAGCCAAAATTCACTCAGCTCTGATGCGTTTATTCACGTTGTGAATAAATATTCCAGTTTCTTGCTTGCATATGGAGTCCTTTTGTTCCTTAGCCCTGCATCTGATTTGGGAGCGAAGGAGTGCAAGTATGTGTGTTTGGCGTTTTTCCCCTTAGAAAATACAATTTCACGTTGCATTAGGACAGGATGGGCAGTGCTGCTTGTTACGTCCTGCTGTTACACCTCCAGTCGGTACAGACTGATCTCGGAACCTGTGGACAGTGTGCATGTGTGTGTGCTAGAGTTCATGCCTTGGGCCTTTCTCTTACTGCTAAAAGCACATCTCCTGTCAAAACTAGTGAGGGCTGGAAATTTTATCTCTCAGTACCATTAGGAGCAGGGGTACATGGCTTCTGTGCAACATTACTTGGATTTAAAATCAAACCTTTTGGGTAGTCAAATGTTGGTTTACTTGCATTTAAGAAATCTTTCTAGTAGAGCAAATAAATTATTCCTTGTTCAAAGGATCATTTGAGTTTACGGCACCAAAATTGTAGAAATGGTACATAATTGGGGTTTTTTCCTTCTTTTGTCCCCAGAGAGTGAATAGAGTCTCTACTAATAGAAATTACCATTTAATAATGGTGACAATGTCTGGGGTTAGAACAGTCTTACTTAATAAACTTTTTTTCCCCTCACTGCTTCTGATTGGTGGAGATACTGTTCTTCCCCGTTCCTCAGATGAGATCTGGGCAGATCATTTCTGGACAAGGATCTTCCCTAGAAAAGGGGGTCCTGAAATGCAAACCCTTCTTGCCCTTCCTGGGTTCTGCAAACTGCAGGGATGTGCATTGCTTCTGGTGGCCTGTGTGTTGGGCTTCACAGAGCCCCACATCATCTTAGAGGTTGATATTTATGCTTCAGATAAAACACAGGCAGTCACAACACTGAACTGTTTTTTTCTTGTTAGTCTTTTAACTGTTCCATTAATTTTTAATTATCAAATCATAGAAAAGCTTGGCTTCACATGACCAAATTGAAAACATCTCAGCCCGGTGTTGGACTGATGGAGACAAACACGGGACAGTAGCTGTTCACCCATAATGAGATTTCTTTCAGAGGAAACTTCTAAATGAGTACACAGATGTGTTGATCTAACAGCAGCTAAAATGACAAGGGAGAACATGTCGGAGCATGTGACAGAACACTGTCATGCACCACCTTTTGGACTCTGACACTTTTCTGCCCCCAAGCAGCATGTGTTATTTTTTCCAGACAGAAAATAACTGCTATAAATCCAATGCGGCTCAGCCCAGCGCAGGCTGGGAGTTTTGAAGCAACGTGAAACTTGGTTTTTCACTAAATTAAGCACTTGGCAACTCACATTCATGCAGTTTTCATTGAACTCATACATGTGAAAAGGACTGTGGGACTCTCTTAATCTGGCTGTATTAACTGTAAGTTCCCTTTTCCAGTTTCAGAATAAAATACGTTTAAAAATAATTCTCGTGGTCAGGGAAAGCAAGTTAGTCTACTTGGTTTAAAGTGTAATTTGGATTTTATTTTTAATGTTCTGTTACTTTCAAATAACTTTTTTATGGTTTGTCTCTGAAAGATTTGACCTGTATTTACCTTCAGATGTTTCAGTCTAACAGGGGTGTAGTTTTTGACAACAAGTAGTGTTATTTGGGTCCTTAGTTTTTTCAGATTACTCCTACAAAGCAGATTTGTTAAAGCAAGTGTTTAATATTTTTCTGAAAACTTGTGAAGCCAGGCACCCAAAATGACGGGTAACTTTTTGGTCAATCGGTGCCTGTCAGATACCTTCGGATTCTGATGCAGGAGCCATCACTGAACTGGAAGGGGTTGCTTTGTGGGTATGCTGTGGTTTGCGTTTCTCCTGCCTGCTTTGAAAACGCTGGGAAGCTTGTCCTGGTAGCTCACAACAGTAAATTTGGCAGGCTGTGAAAACCCACTTCCCTCATGCAGACAAGCACTCCCCGGCTGTGTTCTGCCTTTTCCACAGGTACACGCTGGCGGCGCAGGACCTGGTGATGCGAGCCAGGGGAGTGCTGAAGGACCGGGGCTGGCGAATATCCAACGACAGGCTGGGCTCTGGAGACGACATCTCTGTCTACGTCATCCCTTTAATACATGGGAACAAACAGTCGTGAAAGTGGCATCAGGAGTGGTTATAGGACTGGGATCTTTTCAGGAAGGGCCTGTAAGAGACAATATGTTTTTGGTGATCTGACCAGGACACTTCCAATTGATGTAATCTATTCAAAACTAATGCTGGAGGGGTATTTTTCTGCCCAAAAGGTAGGGCTCTGCACATATACTGTATCTGATTAAAGATAACCCTTAAGATTACGTTTTCCTTATAAAAATGGTTTTGGTGCTTAATGGGAATGGGATGTAAATGCTGCTAGCATATTATGGATTCTGTCATCCCTCCAGGTGGGGAAGTAATTTTTTTCTTAGTTTACCATATAGCTTGTAAGAGCCATTTCAGTTGTGAAAGCAGAAGTAGGTATCAAAAGCCAAGGAGGCTCCTGAAATCTACTCCCAAATATTCAGAAGGTGACTTGGGTCACATCTTATTTAAAAATACCTATATATACATATATAAGACTCAAAGAGTTTTCTTCCTTCAAAAAGTTGCATTCATGACTTACTACGGGCAACTTCAAACTTGTGTAATCCTTCAAACCACCATTTTCCTCTTCTGTCTCTTCTTCAGTAGACTATACTCCTGTATTTTAGTAGGAAAACTGAAATTGTTTCCAGTGTGACTATGCCTGTTTACTGCAGCTAAAACAGCCACCTGCAAAATTGTCCAGGAGAAATAAGGTCACAGTCCTGTATGGCGAGATTTATTCTGGTGTGAGGAGTTATTTGTCAAGATTCCTTGTTATGTGTATACCATGATTATTCAGAGCACGTGAACTCAGCTTTATGTGATGTTTACCTGGAGGCCATGGTTTCTTTGGGATCAGAGATTTTTCATTCATTGAGTGGTTCTGCCTGCTTTATCCTGTTGAAAGGATCCCTGACCAGACAGCTTTTGCATCAGTTGGGATTCAGTAAATTTATTTGAGCTCCTGAATGTATTTTTAGTTGGATTCCTACTTGAAGTGGTGGTATTGTTATCAATTTGGATACCCAGATAGTGATCTATTTAAAAGTTATTTCACTTCTTCCTGCCTCCCTTTTTATTCAGTATGCCTTTGTCTGCTTGACTTGGTGATGAGAAAGTGACAGCTTATAACTTTGTCCTCTTGGTACTGATGACTGTAGACAAGAATCAAAAGATCGTTGTGATTGATACAAGCCCTTGGCTAGCTTCAGCAGCTTTTTTCTTAGCAGTGATGAATCAATTTAAATAAAGAAAATCTGAGTAAAACATTATCACAGTGAAAGCAATAGTCCAAGAGAGAAACAAGTGAGCAAATCTGCAGCTTAACCTGGCTGTCTGTTCTTCAAGCAGGCAGCTCTCTTACTTCATTGGCAGGAGTGGAAGAAAAAACAAAATCAGAAGGTTCTAGCACATAGGCAGGTATATTGGCTGGGGAGCCAAGTTCAACCTAATTTGCCCCAAGACCACACTGGAGCTGCTCATCTGGTTTGTACTTCTTGGATAGCCAGAATACAGGGAGCTGACATAACGGCAGGGCACTGACTGGGCAGCTGACACATGTTGTGTCCTTTCCAAAGGAGAAGGAGGGTGCTGTGCCCTTTGCAGACTTTCTCCGGAACGGGCATAGCCTGGCACTTGCCAGTTTCGTTATTTGCAATGTGCCATGTAAACCCCCCGCAGCGCCTGTGCAGTATCGCTGCCCAGGTGCTTGATTTGATTGCATGGGGAAGTACGTGTGCAGCAGTCTCAGTGGATTTAAACTACCCTTGCTCTAAATCTGTAGACCCAGCGGGAGTTCCAGTTTGAGAGCAGGCAATGCAGAGTGTGTAAACGGCTCAAACATGCAGCAAACAGCCCAAGTTTAGCCTGGAAGCCATTCCGTGCATTCCCCAGTGCCTGCATGTGATAAAGCTGTGCAGAACACAGATATTTTATATTCTAGAGCTTCAGCATAAATCAATGGCATATCTGATTGTGTGTCGCCATGCTTTATCTATTCTTTCCTTATTTTTTTTCTCCTTTACCTCTTTTTCTGTGTGGAACTGGGTGAAAAGAAAGGTTTGGAGTCTAGAAATATTTTTCACATGGCCCCTCATATGTTTTAAAGTTTAAGCAAGAGATCTTCTCTTGCACTTAATTTTTTTGGCCTAATAAACTTGTAAACCTGCTTTTCATGCTCTGTGTAACTCCTGTTGTCTCTTTGCAAATGCAGTTGTGTCGTCCTGTAGCTCAGATCCTCTTTCACAAAGAAACTAATGCTGGCAACACTGTTGGAGTCGTCTGAACAGCAAAGAAGCTGGGCGCTTGCTGGTACCAACTACAAGCCTGAGTCAAATATTTCAGTGCCCATGTGTTGTTAGTCTTCATTATTTGGTAACATGGCATCAACACACATACCAGTCATTATAAAACCACTGAGTACAATCTGGTGCAAATAAATTTCCAGTGTAGCATTTGCCAAAATTTAAAAGGGAAACTTTAAGGCAATAGGAAATGCGCCTTCTTATTCAGGGGTGTTTTTAAACGTACCCCTGGAGAGGTGAGTTGGCAGAGGGCATGACTTGCTGGGAGCAAACTGGCTGGTGACTTCTCAGAGCACAATCTCATGGGCGCTGGGATAGCTTTGTGAATCAGCCTCCACTATGCTTGTTGTTTATCTGAAGTATTGCCGTCAGTCAGCCTGCTTCTCTGCAGCATGGAGTTGTGTTACCTGTCACCCCCTCTCCTGGAAAGGGCAGAAGTACGGTACCAACCATCAATATCAATTAGCATCAATTAATACATTCTGAGAACTTTAATAAAAAGTTTCCTACTCAGATGTATGTGACTGAAACTATGCTGTGATGCTTTTTGTTTTGCTTTTTTACAAAGGATCTGTTATATATTTACATGCTTGCATCCCTGGAGTGTCTCTGGTACATCTGATACGCTGCATTGGTACTTGGGCTTTCACTTCTGTCTGCTTTCAGTAGGAGCTTCTTACGTGCATGCACTGTGGTCTGTGCTCTGCTTCAAGACATGGTATAAATACATATACGCACCAAAGCACCATATCAATAGGAGACAGGAGTCATTTATTGGGGAGGTATTGTGTGAGAAGCAAGAATCATTAAAAGCATTTGCAATTCCCTTTATAGGCTGAATTATTTTGGGAGTCACAGCATTAGAAACCGCTGGTGGCCAGGAGGATCCATGGTGCACAATGTCATTTTTCAGATAGGCACAGCGTGGATCTTGCCACGTGCAGACCTGCAGCTGCTCTAGGGCTCAGTGAAGCTCCTGAGTTAGGAGCAGGCAGCTCACCTCCTCAAACTGGAGCAAGTGAGGCACCAAATCCAAGTTTTAGATCCTTGGCACATCATCATAGTTACTGCCTGATGCCAGCAGCGGTATGTTTTTTTGCTGGTGAAGTTCCCTTAGTTTCCAAAACTGTTTACGCCTTAGCAGCAAGGACCCTCAGTCCCGAGTTACATCTGTGTTCGTACTGCCACTGCACAGTGCTGTGTCCTTGCCTGTACATAGGCACTGCTTAGAAAGTCACGCGAATTCTTGTCCTCCCTTGGACAACAGCAAGGAAAGGAGGCAGTGTGCCAGTTAGTTCAGGTTAGCCAACAGTGCAACGTAACGCTGTCTTCTAGTTCCTAGTCCAGTCCACTTTCTAGAAACTCAAAACCAAGAAGCTTCTACCATTTTCCTGTGAATACTGTTGCAGAAGGTAGTACAGCTATTTCAGACATTTTTCTCTTGCACTACAGCCTAAAATCTTCTTTGTTTAATTTGATGAAGAAGGTCATTAGAAATTTCATTTGCACCTTTAGGTGCACAACCATCTTTTGGTACGTTAAGGCAGTGATGCTTCCTTCATGAACACAGAAGCATATTGTCTGAGAGGGCTGATGTTCAGTAGCCTCATGCTGGAGAGAGAGAGTTTTTTAATAAATTCTAAAAAACCAAGAGGGATAAGAAGCTAAAGGAAAAATGTTCAGAGTCTACTGTTAGCAGTGGATTTCCTTGTTAAAGTTGCTTCAACGTTAAAATATGACGAGAGGTCTGTGAGGTACAGTCGACTCTGTGCTTCCAGGATATTTTTGAAGAACTGCACTTGATGTTTGGGCAGATTTTAGCTTTGAACTTTTGCTAGTTTTTTTAAGAACACTACACACTCCAAGCAAATCTGCTGCGTTTCTTCCTGCCTCGGCATTTTGGATTTATTTTACATTGATGTACAAATAGTTTCAACACTTTTGTATCAAACATGAGTTGCAAGCTGTGTGGAATTGCTGTTCCTCCCCAATATTTTTGGTGTGTAAATAGTTTTCCTCCATGCATCTTAGATGAAGATACAGTGATGTGGCTACCACAGAGAGAGCAACCAAACGATGCTGTAACTGTGCTGCTGTATTTCTACCTGCGATGTACTTGAAGGAGGATGCCCTCGTCCACCTCCACTCTCATTCTTTTTTTCTTTCTCTTTTTTTTTTAACCACTGCTGGTGGTGTTCTTTCATAGGTGTCTTATTTTAGTTATTTGTGTTTTTTTTAATAGCTGCCATCTTTTTCTTTCCTTCATTGGACAAGTCATCTTATTTTGAGATTTGTACAACTGTCTAGGTTTTTTATGTCCTGAAGAATGGAGGACCTGCTGGAGGAAGATGTTTTGGACCAATGTACTTATGCTTTGTGACTGTGAAATGTTAATCTTTTTGTAACCTAAGAGCAAAAAATGTTTAGTAAAGGGATATATTTTGTGTTTTTTGAAACTTTTCAGTGCAATGAACAAAAGAGCAGGATGCTGAAGAAGTGTACGCGCAAAGTTTTAAAATAAAATTTTAAATTATATATTATGTATATCCATCTATATCTGTAACTATTATTATTCTGCCTTTGTCCTGAAGAGTACCTAAGTCTCTGTGTGTGTATTACTAATTGTGCAATACGGACGAGTAGCACACCCTCCTTTACAAGGGAATGGATGATTCACTGACAAAAGGTCTCTCCCTTGATTTAATGAAGTAAATCTCTGTGAGGTACATTA